TTTTTTTTTTTTTTTTTTTTTACCTGAAAGCCAGGCTGACAGTTAAAATAAAAGCAGAATTTAATGAATACTCTTTCTGCTACAACCCCATTCCTTCCAGGTTTACCTGATCACTGCCATATTTAATTAAAGCATAATTTTTATCTCAGAGTAAAATGGGATGTTCAGCTGAATTTAATCCATCCGCTTTACCTATATTTCCACTCACGGACACTTCAGTGTTCTCCACTTTTATTATAAACTTCAGTAAAATAAACACACACACACACTGATTTCCCTTAACCCTAATTTGGGTATGAACAGAGAAAAATAAGTCAACATTAAATTTTCATTTATATGGGAATAAAGTACAGAGAGTAATCGCCAGAAAACATGTAAAAAATGAAGCTAGATTTTTTTTTTTGGAATTTGTGTGGTGTGTGTGTGGAGTACGTATGTTGTATACGTGTAGTCAGCGTATTTTGTGTGTGGCTTGTGTCGTGTACGTGTGATGTGTGTTGGACGTGTGTGTGTTGTTTTTGGTGTGTGTGTGGTATACATGTGTGGTGTGAAAGCACATTTTATCCACCAGAAAGAGTAGGCTTGCCCTTTCATAAATTTATTCTACCTCGGAACACTTAGACTTTAAAATAATTTTTTTAAATTTTTTTTAAATGTTTATTTATTTTTGACGGAGAGAGACAGAGCATGAGCGGGGGAGGGGCAGAGAGATGGAGACTATCTGAAGCAGGCTCCAGGCTCTGAGCTGTGGGCACAGAGCCCGACGTGGGGCTCGAACTCACGGACCGCGAGATTATGACCTGAGCCGAAGTCGGACGCTTACCCGACTGAGCCACCCAGGCGCCCCTAAAATAATTTTTTTGAAGAATCACCTTTAAAAAATATTTTAGAACATGTGTCAAACAACGTAAAAATTTGCTAATTAAGCCAACATATGTTTCAATGTTTAACACTTTTCCTTACACGTTTACACTATAGTTTAGATAAACTTGGACATGTTCCTGTGTTTTAAGTCTCATGTGTTTTCCTCATACTCCTCATGTTTTTTGAATGATAAAAAAGTTTTAACTCTCATTTATACAAATGTGATTGAAGTCTTCACAGACTCAAAAACTGGAACACAGGGGCGCCTGGGTGGCTCAGTCGGTTTAAGCGTCCGACTTCAGCTCAGGTCACGATCTCACAGTTTGTGGGTTCGAGCCCCGCGTCGGGCTCCGCGCTGACAGCTCGGGGCCTGGAGCCTGCTTCGGATTCTGTGTCTGCCTCTCTCTGCCCCTTCCCTGCTCATGCTCTGTGTCTCTCTCTCAAAAATAAATACACATTAAAATAAGTTAAAAAATAAAGCAACACAACATCCTCTCTTCTGAACAACTTATCAAAAGAAGTTCTTTACAGAAACATTATGTGAATGCATACTTTTGCTTCCGAGGAAAAAATTCTCTGCCTTTGTTACACAATTATCCATTAATTCTGTTAAAATATGTAATTTATTTGGGTAGTATCAACCCTCCTATTGAACCGATAATTTTCTTGGAGAGCTTACATAAAAAATTACAATGAGACACCCAATAGTAAATAGCTAATAGGTCCTTTGTGGCCTATGCCATATTCATCGCATCCCCTCAAATAATTGTCTCCTTGGCACCTCTTGTTAAAATATACCATTGACCTTTGAACATCATGGGTTTGAACCATATGCATTCACTTCACATGGTCTTTTGATAAATACGGTGTGTTCCTGTAAGTGTATTTTCTAGTTTTATGGTTTTCTTAATAACATTTTCTTTTCTCTAGCTTATTGCAAGAATACAGTGTAGAGTAACTATAATATATTTAAAATATATGTTAATCGACTGTTTACGTTGTTGGTAAGGCTTTCCGGACTGTCTGAGTTCCACACTCTTGATATTTACTTTTTTTTTTTTTT